ATATATACTGTATATGTACATACACATTTATAAATTCAATATATATATTATTGCATTTCCATGTAGTTTGTTGAAGTATTAAAATAACTCAAAACTAATAATACTAAAAACTTAATAAAAGACCTATACAGACATAATAAATTCAGACATAATGTAACTAAAATTAAAATAAACAACAAATACAAATAATACAAATCAAACTACATTAGTTTATCAGTAATCCTAAAAAATAACACAGCCAAACACACTAAAAAACTAAACAACTTACTTACACATAGTAAGAAATGGTTATACGAAACTGAAACAGAAGCGAAACAAGTAGTAGGAAAGAGGAGATGCATACAGATGCGGTATGCAAAAAAAAAAAAAAGAATAAATAAATAAAATCTGATTTCTGGGACTTGGTGTAAATGAGCATTTCAGGGCAATCTGGGCGATGGAAACAGCTCGAGACACTCATCAGCCGTGAGCTGGTGTAGAGGCACACAGGTGAGTGCTCTGCAGCACTTTGAGGACAGGTGTGTGTGACAGCAGCGCTCGCGCTCCGGGCGGTGGGCAGGGCTCGCCAAACGAGTCTTTATTGGCCGCTGTCTCGGCTTTGTTGAGGCCCGTCAGGCCGCCGTAGTGGCGCTCGTTCAGACGCCAGGTGCGATGCACGGGCAGCCACATCTGATCGATGCGGTCCAGCACCAGCCACAGGGTCCTGACGGCACGCTTCAGCACAGACGTGTAGCAGATGTCAAACTCATAACCCGCATCTGGAACAGCAAGAACACAAGATCTGCATCCTTTTGCATTTGGGTCGTTTTGCATATTGCATGTGTACTACCCTTCAAAAGTCTGGGGTCAGTAAGTTTTCTTTTTTTTAATAAATCAATACTTTTATTCAGCATGGATGCATTAAATTGATCAAAAGTGACAGTAAAGACAGTTATAATGTTACAAAATATTTCAGTTTCAAATAAATGTAATTATGATTTTAAAAATACTATGATGTGTTTTTGGCAATATTGTTAAAAATGGCACTGACAGATAAGTGAAGCAACGTCCTTTTCCTCTTTTTGGTTTTCTGCTCCATTGAGATCATTTAGCCGAAGTTATACCAACATTAATGTTATATCAATATATACAATCTTTAATCACAACGACTTGTGGGTGGATTGATCATTCATTCATTCATTCTTTCAGTGTTTGTTTGGCCACCAAACGATCACCAAGTAACGCTTTGGCAACCTAATATTCTTGCATTCCACTTGCCAAAGGACATGAGGACGAGCAGCACAAGCTTGTACAAGTAATAACAGAGCACGAGAAGATGAGTTTAATAAACGGTCACCGGATCACCTTTCAGGGCCCGGCCGCCCCTCTTGGCCTCCTCCGCTCCGGTTTCGCTCAGATCGGCGTCGAACCAGCCGCAGAATCGGTTCTCCTGGTTCCAGCAGCTCTCGCCGTGGCGGATCAGCACCAGCTTATACGCGGCCATCACGCGCGGTCTGCACGCAGTGGGAATGTTCGCGAGTAACGGAACGTTAACGTTAGAGACGCCGAGGAGAGATGCTGCTGACGCGGCGAGCGGAGCGGAAGTGTTTGGAGGTCGTTTTGCGCGAGGACAGAACGCTTCCTGATGCGCGCGGGGAGTCTTTGTACTGCCATTAGTTTAAAGGAGAAATTATAGTTGTACAACTGGGTTTAAGTGCAATAATTAAATATTTTAACGGTATACAACATGAAACATAGTTCTATATACACAAAATCAAATGATCTCACCCCGAAACATAGGTTCTTTTTCATTTTATATGATTTTTAAATAATAATTTTAATAGATTTCACTGTTCTCTATAGAACTATACTGTTGGAAGTATTATTTATTTATTGCTTTATTTGGTTCATCATCTTAGGTCAGGCAGAAAATAAAAATAACGTAATTATAGTATGAATAATATTGATACATATACACATTTACATACAACCATACATTAATTCAAATTAATAAAAAAGAAAACACCAGGCAAGCATAATTATACACGAAATAAATAACTAATGAAATAAAATAGGGAAAATAAAAATAAAACAAAAATAAAATAAAATAATAAATAAATACATTTTTAAAATAATGTTTATTTATTTAAATCATTTTTTATTATTTAATTGTTTTTAATCAGTTTATCTATTTAATTTAATCACATTTTTGTTACTTATTTATTTTTAAAACATTTTTACACTGTCTTTAACTAAACTTTTTTTTCACATACCCCCTTGATGTAGTATTATTGTGTAAATGTAAAAGAAAAATGAGCAATTTTATTACATTTGATACTGATAGAGAAGCGAACACCCCTTTCCTATATTTTTCATCTTTCATAAAAATAAAAAAAAACATTAACAATAAACCACAGTCTGTGTTTGTAGGCCTTTCAATAAAGGCTTTCAGATTAGTTGATTAGTTGAGAGATGTGTACATGAAGGGTCATTATAAATATATGAGCAAAGGTATCATATTATAATAATAGTACATATAATATTTTTTACAAATAATTGGTTATATATATTAAATATATATATATATATATATATGTATGTATGGTATTTAACGTGTGGTTCTTTGATGTATTTTGATTGGCCGTCGTCTTTGCTGCCGTGTTGGTCTTCTCCTGCGGTATCCGTGCAGCTGCTCCCGGTACTCGCGGTGGCGCATGGCCACGTAACCGCAGGGATCACACAGATCCTGAGACACAGAGACACCGGACTGAGATGCTGCAGCATACTGTGGTTAAGGCAGTCAGATATCGTGTTGTACTGTACCGGGTAACACGCATGGAAGAGTTTGTAACCCCCCAGCAGCAGGTAGAGCTCAGGATAGTGCAGGTTGGGATACACATTCACTTGTCTGTCCAGCCGCCTCAGGTACTGACACCTGTTGATCAGGGAAGAAGTGTGTGTCATGTGTCATCATAAACACACTCAGTGTGTGTGTGTGTGTGTGTGAGTGTGTGTGTGTGTGTCGAGTGTGTGTGTGTGTGTGTGTCGAGTGTGTGTGTGTGTGTGTGTGTTTCTCACAGTTGAGGGCCTCTTTCCGATGAGAACTCGCAGTGGAAGACGATCAGTTTCCGTGGCGACGAGCCCTTCTCCTCTGGGAGTGAGGCAGATGAATGAGCCGCCCGCTGTCCCCTCATCCTCCAGGAGGAGGCGTTTCCTGCGGGGCAGGGGCAAAGTTCAGCTCCTGCCAAGGCCTGATGCACTGCCTGCTGGATCTGAGACTCAGCGTACAGATTCACTGCTCCCTGAATGAGTTAAAGGTTGAGATATGAAGACCAAACATCCTGCTGATGAATTCAATGTGACATTAGTATATAAAAAATATAAAGTTTGGAGTCAGTTGATACTTTTATTGAGCGAGGATGCATTAAATGGATCTAAAGTGAGAGTAAAAACATTTATGAAGTTACAAAAGATTTCTATTTCAAATAAATGCTGTCCTTTTGAGCTTTCTGTTTATCAAAGAATACTGAAAAATACATTATGGTTTCGACAAAAATATGAAGCAGCACAACTGTTTTCAGCATTGATAATAATCAGAAATGTTTATGAACAAATCAGCATATTAGAATGATTTCTGAAGATCATGTGACACTGAAGACTGGAGTAATGATGCTGAAAATTCAGCTTTGATCACAGGAATAAATTACAGTTTAACATATATTCACATAAAAAACAGTTATTTCAAATTATAATACTATTTCATAATATTACAGTTTTTACTGTATTTTTGATCAAATAAATGCAGCATAAATGTACTGTTCACAGTATACATACTGTTAGTATGCTATTCCGATCATAGCCTCACTCGATGTTTGGATTTATAAGTGGTTTTGAATAGTTATTTTTAGGTAAAGTTGAGTCTGGGCATTGGATTGATTAGATCTTTAATGGAGATATTCAACATGAACACCTCATTACATTAAAACGCTGAGTAATTGAAGGTTTAAGTACCCTAATGTGTCCTCCTTGGTACTCGTACGGGTAACGACAGTCAACGATGAGGAAATCCTGGACTGCAGGACCAAACTGACCTCTGATCAGCGACGCCACCTTCAGGTCAGAGCAGACAATATATTAACCTCAATTTATGAGATGCACATCATTCAAATAAACCCATAAAATAATTGTGAAATAACTTGTGTTTCCATCTCAGCTGCTTTGAGATTAAAAGGAGATTTAATATGAGAAAGAGAAAAGAAAATCACGTTATTATCAGAGCGTTTTGATCTACTTTAGCTTAGAAAATGTTGATGATTACTTACGGTGTGAGCGCTGACACAGTGAAGCTCCTGATGGCCGCCACTCTCAACAGGAAGCAGGTGTTGCTATGCAAATAATTGAATCAAGACTGAAAACATGAATAAACCATAATTTAACTGTAATTTGTTAAAACACTTTCAGTCCCACCATGTTCAGACTTATATCACCTTTTAATCTCTTTGGATAAAAGCATCTACTAAATGCATAAATGTCAATATTAATCTAAAACATAAGCATTCTGCTTTTAAGCAATCAATAACTGACACTAGCATTCAAAAGTTTGAGGTTGGTAAGATTTTTTAAATGTTTTTTTAATTAGTCTTCTGGTCACAAAGGCTACATTTATTTTTTTTAAATACAGTAAAAACAGTAATATTGTGAAATATTATTACAATTTAAAAGAACGTATTTCTATGTGAATATATTGTAAAATATAATTTATTCCTGTGATGCGCAGCTGAATTTCCAGCATCATTACTCCAGTCTTCAGTGTCACATGATCCTTCAGAAATTATTCTAATATGCTGATTTGCACATTAGAACCCTTTTCATGCTTAGATAATTTCCCCATTGAGAAACCTCATGTTTGTCTTGAGGAATACCATGTTTCACTTTCAAATATGTCATATTGTTTCATTTTGGTTTTGCAGAACCAACCTTACTGAAGTCTCCTATGAGTGTGACGTCACTGACGGCGTCCTGAGTGACGCGTGTGGGCGGGGCTTTCCGCCGTGACGTCAGCTGCCCGAGCCTCACAGCCGCCTGCAGACGAGCAGAGAGTGAAAAACAAATAACACAAGCATCTTTCACCGCAGGTACTCTCT